TTGTTATCTCAGTCGGCAAAACTGGATTGGCTAAAGATAACCACTGAAGAAACCAAAATTGACCTCCTGAATAATTGAATTCAAACCGAATATCACGAATAGCATGCATCAAAGAAACCACACATGCAGCAATGCAAATTTTTTACGGTGTAAAGTTTAAAAACTGACGGGTATTGTGTATATACGTTAGATGTTTGAAGATCAAATTTCGCGCGTCTGGAGTTAAAATTTGGCTCCAACTTTCGAATTTTCCTGCTGGAGGTAACGTTCCAGTTATATTCCGATTTCAATGATTCGTAAATTAAATGCGTGATTAATAGTGCTCCAAGACGTGGAACAGATTTTAAGAAATGCCGAGATTTTGACTTTTCGAGGGCTGCAAAATGGATGCCGACAGGAATTTTGGGTTTTCTGATTATGCGTGTCTCAGAATGATGCAAATGCCATTTCCGGGATATTTCATAAAATGTCCGCCACTTGCACACACGGTGGCTTAAAAGGTCTTAAAACTGTTTATTCTACCGATAAATAAAGGGGTTTTTATTGACTGGGATTTCAATAACTCGGACTGGGATTTCTAATAAAAATCCAACTGGGACTGGGGATTTTGCCAAAATTTCAGGTGGAAAATGGGATTGGGACCCTCCCCCCCCCTTCAGGACCCTCACTATAGGCTAATGACTCGGCAAAATTACCAAACAACAGTCGGCAAAAGATCACTCACACCCCCCACTCGAAGAGGGTTAGCGCCGCCCCTGACTAGACTTATAGTCTTAGTTTATATGTCTAAGTTCACTTATGACTTATGTACCTCTTTGCACGATCACTGAGCCTGTGTATCGCTGTCTACAGCTTGATTGGGGCCATTCTGATGATTAGACTGATGAATTCGAGAAACAAAAAAGAAAAATTATACTTTTTAGCAACGAAATATGTAAACAGACCGAGCGAACAATTTGCTAAATGTTGACAGTAAAATAAATGTACAATCTAATATAAAAACATATAAAATTTCAACTACGATGAATATGAAAACTCATTTGGCCTATATATAGAAAAATTTAATTCAAACTTACCATAATACTGGCTTCTTTTGGCTCTTAAAAAACTCAAAACAAGTAAACAACTCTGATCTTTCGGGATTTCCTCCGCAAACTACGTCACAATCCTGCTGACGTCAACCTTTTTATAAAGGTCTATTCAACTCCTTTCTCTCCCGTCTCAATTCAGCGATACGCAATATATAAATTTCTACGACAATAATTCAATATTAAATCTTTATACGAATAGTATAGCAATAGGAAATTCAATATGTTTTCTATAATAAGTTAGAGTTATAAACAAGAAATTACTTATATATCTTATACATAACATAATATTAAAGTAAGAAAGAAAGTCCTTACCGACTGTATCAAACTAATTCACATCTTTAACAATCAATCTTTCGCTCGCAATAAGTCACAGTTCAAATTCGTCTTCGCTCGCAGTCAAGAGCAAAATATCAATCCCAAAAAACACGCAACCCAACCCCGCTTATAGTTTTCTTAATTATGTAATACTGTTAATATCTAATGGTAGCTACAACTCAGTTCCGAAATATTACATACTCTAACCGACCTGACCACGTAGCTCAGTTGGCAGAGCATTGGGCTAGTATTCCAAAGGTCGTAGGTTCGATTCCCACCGTGGCCTGGCATATTTTTCAAGCCTTCCCGGTGTGGATATACACTCAGAGTAACAGCACAAGCATCATGGTCTACATATCTTTCAAAATTTGCTCTCTTTGGCTGTTTTATTAACTTTCAAACACTAAAAAATCACGTCACGTGGTCGAATCGCGTCCGGTGTGTCTGGACCTTAAGGACTCGATTTTTTATCGATCAGACTCATTAAAAAACCACGGCAAGAAGTTTTGCATTAAATTGTAACTAAACTCTGTCAAAAAAGTAGCATTTAATAATCTTAACATACAAACTTAACTACACTCAGTATTTTCCATCTTCCAGTGTATGCATGGTAGTAAACGCGAAATAGACTGTCATATTCATCCACCCCCCTGTCACAATCAATAGGGAGTCATACTCATTCCCGTGTTGTTAGGCTGACGCGTATATCACTATAATTGCATGGTTATTTTCGACAATGACCTTTTGGGTAACTCTAATATAATATAATAGTCGTGCCATCCAGTTACAAATACGTTGTTGGAATTAATTTCTAGAAATTTGCAAGAAACTTTCATGTGGTGTAACTAATATTCGCTTGGAATTGAGCAGCGGGAAACCTTATCAGAAGGAGGAGGAATTGCAATCCAAATTTAACTGGAAGCCTGCACGACGTATGTATTATAAATTGGTTTATTAGGTATATTAGTCTTTTGCACAATGGACTACGGTTAACATTTTAGGATTGGGTTATGAAGAAAAGGGATAAGTATAGGTAATAAAGTGGTTACGAGGTCAATTTGAGCATGGGCGGCCAACATTTTCCTGGTTTGCGGTCGGCAATTTGCCTGACTACCCGAAAATTGCCCGACTTTTATTTTGAAATTGATACTCGTATTCACGTTAAATTTAATTAATACGTATACATAATACATTCACAAGTTAATTTATCATGTAATATATATTCGTTACTATAAGTAAAGTTGTCATAGACAACAACAAGATTTCGGCTTTGAACTTTGTATAGTTATTTCGCCCTTCGTCTGATATATTCATATATGTATTTGTTTGATTACTATAATATATTTCAAATTATTTTGCCTGAATCGCTCGTAATACACATTATACACTAAATATCCAAAATTAAACAAAGACGAACACGTTTCTTTAAAATTAAAACAACTATTTTAGCTGTATTCTCCGCAGAACGCCACAAAAAATGTCATGTAGGCATAGCCTTAAATGCAACAAAGCCATACTGTATGTCTTTCGATTTTCCGTCCTGGCGACTGGCGTATAAGCTAACTTTATTGAGTCATATAGAGCAAAAGTAGACCTAAATACTAGAAAATGCATGCATTCAGCAACCCCTCGCCTTTCTTAACAGATGAAGTATAAAAACTCTACAAAAAGTATTGAGACCATTATAAACAAACATAAAAACACAACTGATGCGCTAGCTTTATAATGAACGATAACATTTACTGCAATTTCATGCATACCAGCTTGCATTAAAGTGAATTGTCGAGTTAAGAATGGCTTAAAAATTTCGCAGATATGAATAAAACCGACAACACAAAGAATTGGACTTTAGGAAAGCATTTGATCTCATCGATTATCAGTTATTTATGGTAAAGCTCCACTCTCTGGACGTTCAACCGAGTGTTATAAGTGGGTAAGAGATTTTTTGACAAACGTCAACAAAGAGTGAAGTTGGCCAATAACTGCTGTTCAGAATGGTCCCTTGTCCCGGCAGGTGTACCCCAGGGAACCAAACTCGATCCTTGGTTATATATTCTTATGATCAATGACCTCAACACAGCTAGTAACAACTCTGGAAATACGTAGACGATACGACTTTATAGCCGAGGTAATATCCAGAGGAGGGGATAGCAATATTCAATCTGCGGTCGATGACATCCAAAACCAATCCAACACCCTGAAATTTACCCTCAACCAGGACAAATGTAAAGAGATACGAATACAATTTAGCAGATACAACACCAATTACCAGCAACAAATTAAACTCCCTCATGAAAGATTGTGCACAACTGGCTGGAATTGGAAAAGACAAGCGAATAACAAATCACAGCGCTCGAAAAACACTTGTTCAAAAACTACAAGACAACAATGTTCCTCCAACCCAAATCGTACAAATAACCGGTCACAAAAATTTGCAGTCAGTTAACAATTATAGCTCATTGAGAGAACAACAACAACAACAAGACATTTCTTCGATCTTGTCTTCGGTGCCGAATGTGGGTAACGCACGATCGTCGCTCTCTTCGCAGGAGACCAATTCGTTCAGTGTGAAGCAAGATGCTATTAATCCATCCTCGTCGCTTTTTCAGGGCAATTCCATCACAGGGGCACGATTAATATCCACATATCTAGCGCTTCGTCTTCTGCGTCGAACACAATGATAGGCGCTAGTCCGAAAGCTAAGAAACTACGACGACTGTTACCTCTTGAAAGTGATAGTAGTCAAGATGACAGCCAGGAAAAATGAACTGAAAACCGTTTGTTGAACATTATTTTTATTTACTGTATATAGTCGTCCTATATTGTTATAAATTTTGTTTGAAAGTTATACCGTTTTTGGCACTGTTTAACATATAAGTTGCATTCATACACAATTTTTTCATTCCTGTATGAATTTTGTAATAATATTCGTTTGAGTTATGGTGGTATAATAAACAGAACAATACATGTGTGCTTGGAAATACCAGATTTATTTCTCGTGTTAAACATGATATCTCACTCGTTCGCTGCGCTCACTCGTGAGATATCATGTTCAACACTCGAAATAAATCTGGTATTTCCGCGCACCCATGTATTATTCTCTATATTCTTAAATACATTAATAGATAGTATTATTAATTGAAATAGACAGTCCCATTAACTTAAAGTTACAATTATTTTTATTATGTTTAGTATTTTTAATCAGTAATAGATAGTATAATTAACTTAAACTTTTCTTTTGTAAAATTTAACCGTTGTAATTCAGCCTCCTGGCTGCAAGATCGGGTTTTTTGTAAATTGTAAAAAATTGTAAAGTACGGCGTGAAATTTTACTACTGAAATGTTTACACTTACCCAAACCGGCACAGCAACGATTAAATTATCAAAGACATCAACAACAAAACATCAAAACAATTATTATACAAACGGTTGAACAGCCACTAATTCATGAAACTGCAGGCTTATTTCCAGTTAAAATCGAGAAAAAAACCGTGTTGTACTTTTGTGAACTTTTTAACGAAATTTAAAACAAAATATTTCGGTAAAACAGCAAAATACGTCCTTTCAAAATGAAAAACAATTACTTCGCTGAGTTTGAACTCGCGCATTCGCATAACTTCGCAAACCGTCCATGACATAAACAAAATGGAGGACAACTTTGCACCAGTGAACTCAATTTAACTGGAACGATAACATTCAGTCATTTGGCAGTTAAAAAGTGAAGCCTTGCGTGAGCAGTGGCGTCAGCCCTCCACGCCATATAGTATGTCAGTTTCAGTCCCTTTATACGCCATCACCGCGCGGTCTATCACAAATCTGCGCGCGTCAAGTGGCGTTAGCATTTGCTTCACGCTTCTCCCGCATGTTATCATTCCAGATAAAAGACATGGAGTTCACTGCTTTGCACTCCGCTATGTTTTCACATACCCGGGTATAATTAGCCGTGCGGAATTAGTACCCTTGCACGGGCGTTTCGCGCCGCCGGCTAGGGGATTACGGTGCAAATTCGGATATAATGAAAATTCGTGATCTTCACGGTTTATATTAAATCCAGGAAGTCATAACGCACAAATGCACAATTACACAAGTACACAACAATGCCGCTCAATTTTTATATTTCAATATATTTTAGCATGTATATATAAAATTATTATTATTATTATTATTTATTATTATTTAAAAATATTTTAAAACGGTAGCTCTTCAGGGCTCGTAGGCACCTGCTTTTCAAGAGGCCGTTTATTACAGTATTTACAAGCTATATAAATATAATAACACAAATATACACACAAAAACAGAGAAAACATAACGAACTTAATAATTGCATGCACTACATTTGTATCTAAAAATATCCTATCCCATTTAAATATTTACAAAGTTACCAAAAGGAATCAAGTGCCGTCAAGAATACGTTTAAATTTGTTAAGGCTAATGCCTTTTTCTTTTGCTGTAGTTGATAAGTCATTCCAAAGGGATGCAGCTGAATAACTGAAGCTCTTTTTCATAAAATTTGTTTCAGGTTTTCCAAGATCATAGTTGTTATTGTTACTTCTTAAATCATATCTGTCATTTATTTTAATTTTGAACATGTTGCAAATTGATGATGGCATTTTTTCGTTTCGTATTCTGTGCATAAAAATCGATTTAATGGTTTTATAGCGTTGGTTTAAAGGTTGCCAGTCTAATTCTTTTAAAACATCCTCAGAACTAACTTCATAAGTTTTACCAGTGATGATTCGAGCCGCTCTGTTTTGTAATTTCTGAAGTCTGTTTTTTAAGTAATCATAACAGTTATCCCACACCAAGCTACAATAATCAAAATGTGATAGCACAATGGCATTATATATTTTTACTAAGGTTGATTTGGGAACAAACTGTTTTATTCGTCTCATCATTCCTATTCCTTTTGAAGCTTTTGTGACAATATTTTGGATTTGATGATTCCATAAAAGATGTTCATCAATAATTACGCCTAAAGTTTTTGATTTGTGAACCCGTTTAATGACTGATTCGCCAAGTTCAATTTTAGGGTCCGTTAGTACTAAGTTTGAAATCCGTTGTCTTGAACCAATAATCATGTATTCAGTTTTATCTTTGTTAAGTGTAAGTTTGTTTGCAAGTAACCATTGGTGTATATTTTCTAAGTCCACGTTAATGCGTTCTTGTAGTTCGTCATTTGTTTTGCCATTGGTTGAAACATTTGTGTCATCGGCAAACATGCTTGCTGAAGATGAGGTCAGGCAGTTTGGCAGGTCGTTTATATATAATAAGAAAAGAAGTGGCCCAAGATTAGAACCTTGGGGTATTCCACATTTAACTGTTCTTGTCGTGGACATTGTTTGATCTACCTTACATATTTGAATCCTGCTAGAAAGATAGGACTGGAACCAAGCAAGCGTATGACCTCTTATTCCATAACAATGCATTTTTTTTAACAATATATTATGATCAACGCAGTCAAACGCTTTCTTGAGATCCAAAAAAATCACTCCATTTAACAAACCCTTATCCATATTCATTAGCCATTGGTTCGTGATGTTAAGTAGAGAAGTTTGTGTAGAGTGATTTTTCCTAAATCCTGCTTGTTGTTCTGCAAGAATGTGATTAGTTTCAAGATAAATTTCTAGTTGCTCTGTAACTAATTTCTCATATATTTTAGCAACTGAGGATAGAACCGAGATTGGTCTATCATTATCGCAATTAGTTTTGCTTCCAGCCTTATGAATTGGAGAAATGATAGCAATCTTGAAGTCTTCAGGAAATATACCAGTGTTTATAGATGCGTTAAAGATTGCTGACAGGGATGGTGCTTTTACTTCAGCAGCTTCTCTTAGAAGTTTACCGGGTATTCTATCATGCCCTGCTGATTTGGATGTTTTAATTGTAGAGAGCAACTTATATACCTTAGTTAATGAAACATTTTGTATCGTAAATTGTGTATCGGACCTAGTCACGTATGACTCAAATGTCCTTGAGCTCTGTGGCATGTTGTTAGCCAAACGAGATGAAACTTCGTTGAAATGTGAATTTAAAGCATCTGCAATTTCGTGTTTTTTAGTCAAATTTTGATTATCGTTTCGGATTTCAGATATAACAGTTGTTTTTGACTGTTTGTTTGTAAGTTTATTAATTGTTTTCCACATTTTCTTTGGGTTGTTATCAGAGTCATTTAAAGTATTTGTAAAGTAAATTGCTTTTGTATTCTTAATTAATCTATTCAAATCATTTCGTGTGCGTTTATAAGCATCATGGAAATGTTTTGATCCTGTTTTAACTGCTTTTTTCTTTAAAAAGTCTCTTCGACGCATAGTTTGTTTAATATTTTCTGTAATCCATGGCGCGTACTCGCTTCTAACTTTTTTTGTTCTTTCTGGTGCATGAAAATCTGCAACCGACAGAAATATTGTTTTCCAATGTTCCCACATAATATTTGGATCAAGCATTGTATCACAGAATACTTGATCATATAAGTGTGTGGAAAGGTCTGATTTAAAGTTGTTTGAGTTGTAGTGTCATATTTTTCATATATTTAAGTATTTGCTTACGTACGACCTACCTGCCCATAGTAAAAATCTAAAATACTGTTGCGAAAAATTAAGAACAAGGCTATGAACTTTTTAACTTTTTAACTTTTTTTAGAACTTTTTTACTTTTTTTTTTAACCAAGAACTTTTTAAATGTGGATTCAGCGTCATTTAATGTAGAAGAATATTATGGGTTTTTTTAGTTTGGTGGAGGTATGCAACGAAAATCGTTTTCTAGTCATCTTTTGGGGCTGGTCAACGGCCTATGTATTGTCACGCCTGAGAATCTTTGATTTCTATCGATTCAGGCCAATTAAAAGCCCACAGATTGCTTAATATTTAACAATTATACCATGAGCTCGAGTCGTATATGAGCTGATAGCCGACGAGGTGCGTAGCACCGAGTCGGCTATCAGCCATATACGACGAGAGCGAATGGTATTATTGTTTTATAATATAGTCTAATAGCCATTAACTGAAATAATAATTAATTATCCTCTGTTATACAATGTCTTGACAATTTGTTTTGCCAAAACCCGCTTGACCTTGAAAATTTGAAATACTTTTGTCTTACAACTCGAACACGAAGTGAAAGAAATGGTTTTAGGACCAGTATATCTCACAGAAAAGATCAGATATATTATACAGATGTTTGGTAGTATAGTAAGTGCTTGTTGAGTGCAAATTCATTTGTCTTTCGTTGCAAACTTTTCTGAACAATTTATATTCTCAATGAACATGTTTTTTTCGCTGTTGTTTCGGTATTAATTCTTTAAAAAACTTGTATTTAAACTCATTTCTTGGTAATAAATGTATTTTGCTAACCTGTCAAAATTTTGGGAGTTTTTCCTTGTACTATTATCTTTCTCAAAGCGAATATTTTCCTTTTTTCTGCTTCGCAGAACTCATGTAGTTTTTGGACCGCCATCTTGTTTTTTCGCTACTCGTTGTAGCTGATATACGGCGAGTAATTCAACCAATCTACTCTACTGAGACGGCACTCTTAGGTTCGACAAATGAGTGGTTATATAACATGGACAGTGGCTTAATCAATGGAGTCCTGTTCTTGGACTTGAAAAAAGCTTTTGACACTGTCGACCATGAAATCTTATTAAAGAAACTTCACCTATACGGCATAAAAGGAACTACTTACGCATGGTTTGAATCTTACATCCAAAATAGAAAATCGATTTGTTTAATGAATGGGAAAAAAATCACATGCTAGAGAAATTAGGTGTGGGGTACCACAAGGTTCTAACCTTGGCCCCATCCTATTCCTCTTGTATATTAACGATCTACCTAAGTGTCTAGAAACAACCAAGGCCAACTTGTTTGCTGATGACACAAATCGTTCGTGTGCCGGCTTAGATGCCAATGAAATCGAGACTAAACTTAAAAGAGATCTTGGGAATGTTCATAGTTGGCTTAGATGTAACAAACTCACGCTAAACGATAGCAAAACGGAATTTGTGATAATTGGCTTTAGACAGTCTCATCATCTTACTAAATTTGAAGACAACCCAGAGATTTCATTAGCCATACGAGATAATAATATTAAACGGGTCACCAACAAAAAATCTCTTGGTTTTATCATCGACCATCAATTAAAGTGGGGTATACACATTGACGCACAATGTAAAAAAAATCTCAAAAAATATTGCATTACTAAGAAGAGCCAAGTCCTTTGTTCCTTTACACATTCTATTCAAAATGTATAATGCTGTAGTATCTCCTCACCTGACATATTGCTCAACGATATGGAATGATGGATCTAATTCCATTCTTAACAAACTCTCTAAGTTACAAAGAAGAGCAGCTCGGGTTATCACAGGACAATCATACGATGTTCGTTCCACTCAAATACTAGAAAGTCTCAATTGGATGCCAATTGAAGACATTTTAAAGAAAAGAGAAATCATTACGACGTTTAAAGCTTTAACTAACAGACTACCTGATTATGTGCAGAATTTCTTCACGAGATGCGAAAATAGTAATTATTCTCTAAGAAGCAATAATGTTAAACTATCTTTGCCTAAACCAAGAACTAACGTTCTTAAAAGAAGTTTCTCTTATAGAGCAGC